ACTTGATTTCCAGTCCTCTAGTTAGCCAATTAATCTCCCTCCTCTCATTAGCATATTTCCAAAGTCCACTACCTTCTTGTAACCAACTTAAGACCAGCTTTGAGTTCCCTTCAATGACTAACTTTTGTATATTTAGTTTCTTAGACTTCCTTATACCCTCCAGTACTGCATAGACCTCACCTTTGAGAGTCTCCAACCCCAATGGGACCTGAATACAAAGCAAGCACCTTCCCATCCTCATCTCTGAAAACCCCTCCTACACCTGATGGACTTGGATTTCCCTCACTAGTTCCATCAAATTTAGCTTTATAAGTCCACTTCCTGGTGGTGACCACACATGACAAACTAAAGAGCGGGCAGGAGTAGAATTTACCACCTCCAGCCAGCTATTTAGCAACATATTCGTAGAAATATCAACAAACAGGTCCAAGGATTTCAGCCAATGTACCAGCTTCACTGTTACTACTTCAATAAGGCATTCATTACTTCTTTCAACTTCAGAGAAAATTCTGGTGTTCCTTTCCTCCCAAAGAGTCCAGCAAACAACAGCCCTCACACATCTCCACATTATCCTTCCCCTTTTGTTTAGACAACCAAAGAACAAGGGGCTAAACAAACTTTGAATGTTTGGCAGTGGGGCCCACTTGCAACCAAAAGAGGAAAGAAACCACTCCCAAAGATCAGTAGCAAAGGGGCAAGAAACTAATGAGTGGTAGGAGCTTTAACCATTAGCCTTGCAAAGAATGCACCAATTCAGAGACAAGTACCAAAAAGGCCTTTTTCTTTGGAGTACGTCACAAGTATTACATCTTCCGAGGAATGCTTCCCAACAAAAGGCTCCAATCCTTGGAGGAATCAGCTCACCCCAAACATCCTTAACTGGAAAGTTTTGTGCAAATGGACTGGGTGGAGGCAGTAGAGACTTGAAGAAAGAGGCACAAGAGAAGGCTCCAGAGGCAGTTTGGGTCCACATTTTCTTATCCCTCTCAAAAGGATCCAACATCTAAGATCTCAACAGATTTATGACACTTTCAACCTCTACATCCCTTAAGCCTCTTCTAAGCCCCAGATCCCAATCAAACCCAAAATTAGACTAAGAAGGAACTAGAAAACTAGACACAACCTTGCCCTTAAACCGGGAGAGTGAAAACAAGGAAGGGAATTGGTTTTTCAAAGCTATCTCACCCACTCAAATATGCTCCTAAAACTTTACCTAATTCCCAGAGTAGAGGTCATACTTGATGTGCTGCAAAAAGGAAGGAAGAATGACATGTATAGATTTCCAAGGAGAGGCACCAACAGACCTTGCCAAAGTCCTAGTGTCCCAACCATCATTTTCTTGACCATGAATACTTAAAAGTACCCTTGTCCACAGTTTATCCCTCTCACCTCCCAACCTCCACAGTCATTTGCCCAACAAGGCTTCATTTTTCCTCCGAATGGTACCTAAACCTAACCCTCCGTCAGCCTTACTCCTAGAGACTAGTTCCCAATTCACCTTGTGATCCTTCCTCTCCTCCCCTGGTTCCCACAAGAAGTTTCTCATCAACTTCTCCAAACTCCTACTTATCTTCACTGGGATCCTAAAAACTGATAAGTAATACACAGACAAACTAGCTAGTGTAGACTTAATCAAAGTAATTCTACCACCTAGAGATAAATATTCTTTTTCCAAGAGGCCAACTTCTTAGCAAAACTATCAATCACGGGACTCTAAAAGCTCTCTTTCCTCGGGTTATCCCCTAAGGGCATCCCCAAATAGTTCAGCGGCCACTGAGACACCGTACAACCCAAAGCTTCAACCCTCTCCAATATAGCTCTCTCTTCCATATTGATGCCCACCACATAGCTCTTATCAAGGTTCACCTTCATATTTGACATTTGTTCAAACACTTGAATCACCAACTTCAAGTTTTTAGCCCATCTCACATCCTCCCCCTCACAGGACAAAATTGTATCATCAACAAACTGTAAATGGGTGATAGGAATGTTGTCTTTTCCAACTCTCCATCCCCTCACAAGACTTCTCGAATCTGGTTTCTCAATTAGCCTCCCCAACACTTCAGCGATCAAGGTGAAAAGAAATGGAGAGAGGGGGTCCCCTTGTCTAATTCCCCTAATAGTCGGGAAGTGATCCACTACCTTTCCATTTACCAGGATGGGGTAATGACAAGTCTCTATACAACCCAGTATCCATTTACACCATTTCTCCCCAAAACCAAAGCAATTCGACACTTGCTTCAAAAAATACCAATCAACCATATCGTAAGCCTTCTCTAAATCCAACTTGCACACAATCCCTTTCTTCCTTGTTCTCCGCATATCCTCCACACACTCATTGGCAATTAGAATTTGATCCACAATCTGCTTATTTCCAACAAAAGCCCCTTGATTCTGTGAAATTAGCTCTGGAAGCACCACTCTAATTCTTCTAGGCAGAACCTTCGCAATGATTTTTTACAAGCTATTAACCAAACTGATGGGTTTAAAGTCTCTTGGATGACTTGCTCCCACTTTCTTTGGGACCAAAGCAATAAAAGTTGAGTTCAGCCCCGGATTTATCACTCCCCTATGGGAAAATTCAATAAACACTTTAAGGATATCCTACTTTAATATCTCCCAACAGTCTTGGTAAAAAGCCATGGTAAAGCCATCTAGTCCTGGTGCTTTAGATCGATCCATTGAAAAAAACTGCTTCCCTTATTTCCTCCAACTCAAAATTTCTTTCAAGCCACATCTTCTTCTCCTCAGATAATTTTGGCCAATCTAACCCTTCTACCCAGATTCTCTGGTTTAACGGCCTTATAAATAAAGACTTAAAGTGCTCCACAAAGGCCCTAGCAATCTCATCCTGTTGAGATATTGACACCCCATCTATCTCCAATTTAGAACTCATATTTTTCCTTCTTCTACCATTGGCCATTGCATGAAAAAATTTGGTGTTTCAATCACCTTCTTTCACCCACTTATGTCTAGACTTTTGCCTCCAGCTGACTTCCTCTTTGAATAGGATGTCTTCTAGTTGCTTCCTGAGCTTCCATCTTTCTTGTTTGTCTCTCACTTTAAAATTGCCTCCCCTTTCTTTGGCATCCAACTCCTCAACCTGATTGATCACTTCTTGTTTTCTCTCTTCAATCCTTCCAAACTGTAGAATATTCCAATCCTTAATCTTCCTTTTTAACTTCTTCAATTTCTAATGAAATTTCATCCCCTCCCAAATAGCACTTGGGTTAGTGTCATTCCACCAATTTTCCACCAACTCAATAAACCCAGAGTGAGACATCCACATGTTCTCAAATTTTAAAGGAGTGGCCCCTCTAGTACCAAGATCCTCTCTCATTAAGGTAATAGGCCATTGATCCGATGTTACCCTAGGCAATGCTCTAGAAATAATAGTCCCCTAGTGCTCCTCCCAATCTGCTGTGATTAAAAATGTATCCAACTTAGAGCATATAGGGTTCTCATGGAGATTGGACCAAGTAAATAAACCATGTAGCAGAGGAACCTCTTTCAACTCAAAACTATTTATGAAGCTGTTAGACCTTCTCATGCTAGTGCTACCGCCTCTCCTCACCCTATTAGTCTTCTCTATGAATCTAATAACATTGAAATCTCCTCCTAAACAACAAGGGCCTTCCCAAAGTCCTCTAATGTCTCCCAATTCCTCCCAAAGTTCACTTGTTTCTCTATAACCAGTTGGACCATACACATTGGTTAATACCTACTCAAATCCATCTACCCTGTGTCTAAACTTGATAGAAACAGTAAACATCCCAATCAGCTCCTCCACTCCCTCAAAAACCTCTTCATTCCACATTGTCACTAAACCTCCTGACCTTCCCCACGAAAGACAAAAAGCCCAGTTGTTGCTCCTTACTTTCCACACCGATTTGGCCCATCTCCTATCAAACTCCATCAGCTTAGACTCCTGAATCAGCATTAAGTCTGGATCCTCTCTTCTTATTACTTCTTTTACTGCCATTTCCTAGCTCCCCGTAACTCCCTAACATTCCAACTGAGAATCTTCATAACCACTTTCTAAAGAAAACCCTTACCTGTCCTCTTTTCAATTGGTCCCTCTTCTTCTGCCCTTTCTCATTGCAGCAACTTATTTACTTGATTCTTTTTTTTTTTCTTTTGATAATTAACAGAAACTTCTATTAAGAAAGAGTAAGAGAATAAGATACAAGAGGAAGGAGGGGTAAAATCTCTTAACCCTCCCTAAAAGTAAACTTCAAATTACAACATCGCCCCAAAAAGGTCAACTCTTCCCACCCCTGGTTTGGTCAGTGAGTCTTCCAAAGAATTGGCACTCCTCTTACTCCACTCACCACTGAAACGTGATTTCCATGTTTTGAGAAAACTGTTTAACTTTCTTTTTCTCATTTAAGTACTTCCACAAACTGAACTTTCTATTTTTTTTGGATCAATGGCAGCATTTCATTAGATTAATAAGAAAAAGGTACAGCAATCCAGAGAGAGTTAAAAAGACTTAACTCTCTACAAGAGAGCAAAGTCACATCTCACAATACAGCCCAGTACAATTGATCCCTACCCACCCCCTGCTTTGCCAAAGCATCTACAAACGCATTTTCTGTTCTTTTCACCCACTTAAATTGGATGTCCATCCCCCTAGTTAGCCATTTGATTTCCTTTCTTTCATTAGCAAACTTCAAAGACCGCTTCCCCTCTGTAACCAGCTAACCACCTACTTTGAGTCCCCTTCAATAATTAACTTCTGTAAGTTAAGTTCCTTATTCTTTCTAATACTCTCTAGAACAGCGTAGATCTCAGCTCTAATAGAGTCCCCAACCCCAATGGAGCACAAATACATTGCTAACACCTTCCCCTCCTCATCTCTGAATACTCTTTCTTTTTGCTACTATTAACTTATGGAAATTCTAGTTTTTATATGGCACTGCCTAGTTTATGGGTAATTATGTATAATTTTATAAATTCTGCATTGGGCTTCATTTTCTGATTATCTTGCGTGGTTCCAGGTTCATGGCAATGTCTGCTTGTTCAGTGTTGTTGTGACACAAACTTTGGATTGGAAGTTGCATGCTTTTGATGTGTTATCTGAATTTGATGGGAACAGTGAAGCTTCTACTGGGCCAATGCTGGTAATATTTTTGTTAAGATGTGACCAACTACTTCTGTTTTCCTTCAATCTTCTGGATATTTTTCATACTTATTGTTAGTGGTGTTAGTAAAGGGGTATTTCAGTCTTTGTACTTGTTGAGTGTGCTGATGTGTACTGCTATGTTAGTTCGAGTGCCTCTTACTTAAAGAAGGGCACTCAAGTCTTTTTCAATAAGTCAATAATATAATAATAGGT